CTCTCTCCCTACCGTTAAGTAACTTGTGCATTGTTTTACTTGTTTTTGACGTATCCGACCGAACTACAAACTTTCCAGTGATGTCTGTGAGAAAGGTATATTCACTCGACAAGCTCGCGCATCTGCGCCGCCGCGCGCTCAATCCACTCAGCGTGCTCTGCTTATCCGCTCACGCACATCAGCTATACAGGCGTTAATACTGAATGTTTAACATTATATTCATTGCATACATATACTTCGTAGACATCTTTAATCTCTAATAACTCCATTCTGCTGTCTGTTGTTCTGTTGTCTGTGTTTCTTTGTCTGAATGGCACTAATCACATGCTGTGTGGTATCGGCGTTTGGCATCGGGGCATTTTAATGAGTACGAGTACAGGAGCTCAGTATCGGGCCCGATACCGATACCAGTATCTGTATCGGTGCTATCCCTACTTGTAACTGCAAACAATTACTTTTTTTTTTATTTATGTATATTAAATACCGGTAAATATAAGGAAACCTTTACAAACATAAACATTATTTAGCCTATTTAGTTCTCTTCAGTCCACAACAAATCCTTTACATGTAACGATATTACAGAACAAGAATGACAAAATAATCAGCTATAAAATTATATATTAAACTATAATATAAAAAAAAATCACGCTATAAGCTAGTGGCATTTATTATAAACTGTTATAAAATTATAATCAATTATAAACAGCACGCAAACGTCAAGCAAAGTTGAAACGGCATTGCGCTCACGAGCCTCTCTCATTCGACAAGAATCCAAATGTTTCCATTTTTGCCATATTTGTATTATTTGGTTGCTAAACCATTATTCATCATGTAGCCTAAACAAGGCTTTATACTTCACTCATGTTCTAATATCCGCGTAAAATCCTTCACATGCGCAAACATGTTTGTTTGGGCGCTGCACACTGATTTCACAGCGGACCTTTAAAATAAACACTAACTTTTATGTTTGGTTTGACTGCATTTTAGTTTGATGATGAATGGCTGAAAAGTCAAGCAACTCTAGAACTAATTGTGTGTGTGTGTGTGTGTTTTTTTCCTTTTGTTAATCTGTTAATTATATTAGAGCCTATTATATATTTTGTGTGGGTCCTATTTATTTTATTCCTTTTATAGACCTTATAGGCAAAAATGTATTTTAAATCCGACCCTGAATATATCGTATCTTATGTTATAAGATGCTGTCAATTCTGAATAGTGAGGGAACTTAAAGGGAACACTGCTTTTAAGTGCATGTAAATGTAAACTCCTTCATTTGAACCCTAGTGGTGTCTTGCAGGACATCGAGGTTCTGAGAAAGCAGGTGGACCATCTGACCGAGGAGAATGGGAAGCTGTTGGGTCATCAGAACCCCAAGCAGAAGATTGAGTACCTGGTCAAACTGAAAAAGGAGATCACCAGACTGCAAGAAGTCAGTATGAACATACAGTCTCTGGTTTGAGAAGGTTGTACGTTTAAATAGAAAAAAATCATAACACTTAAATTGGCAGCTGTATTCCTGCTATATAGTTGAAAAAAATATTTTTTAAGATTAAGGTATGTTTTTTTTTTTTTTTTTTTTTTAAACCCTTTCATAACGACAGATACCTCGATTCTGAATGAATCAGCCGATTGAATGAATGACTAATGACTAAAACAGTCCTTTACTGTCATCTACTGCTGGTTTGGTTTCATATTTAAAAGTATTGCATTTTTCCCAACATTTTTAACTTGTATGTTCAAAAATATTTAAAACATTCATCTTATAAAATTATTTATGCATTTGAAATGTGGTGTAAATGCATTTATGGCACCTCAGCTTCATTAAACAGTCTGTGTGAATACATCTAATGCCACTTCAGATGCAGCTTCTGTTTCCTCTGCAGTGAAAAGATGGAGTTTGTTGATAGTATGCGCACTCTAATGTGAACATTAATTGGGGGGGTGTGCGCCCCCAGGCCCATCTACACATGGTTTATATTCCGAACTGTCACCTTTTTGACCTCTTGTGAGTTTGCAGGTATGCATTAGGGATCTATTGTTTCGTTTCAAAAGCGTCATCGCACCGAACATTCACTCCGAATTTCACGTTCAATGTGAAAAGGCCTTAAAGGGTGCGTTCTGCACCTGCATGAGAGGAATTAGCCGTCTATATTAGAAGCTACCAATAGTATATCTCCGTCATTTAAAATGAGAAACCGAAACGAGGATATACGAGATAAATGCAGATATACGAAACGTAAACAAAGCAGTGCTAGCTTACCATTTTGAATATCAGTTGTGTTGATAACAGTCTTCATTTTAAGCGGCTCATGTTATGAAAGTATTCACATATTGGAATGCTAATGGGTAACATTAGAACAGCCTTCTGTCTGTGCCGCCTGCATTTACTTACTAGTTTTCATCACTTTCACTTTAATTCTCGAGCACTGACTCGTTCGCTAGACTGAACATCCAATCAGAGCTCTCACTCGCGTCGACGGCCCTGAAACTGATTTAACATGTTGAATCGGGCAGCATGGTGGACCAAACAAACTATCTTGACAGACGCTCACCTTGGTGTGTCCCAGGCTGAACTAGTTATTGACTCGTATTATAAATGTTCCATTTGTTTCCATGAATCAGCTAAAAACAAAGTCTACATCTGAATTAAAGTAGAAGTAACTGTTAAAGCATCTCTCTTAACTCATTCATGCTCCCAATATGGGGACGATTTGGCAAACTAATGACTTGCTGTTTTGGGATGTTATCAAATCTGTCTTTGGTGTTTTCAGGAGAATGGCAAACTCAGACAGTGTCTTCATATGGAAGAAGAAAGTCCTAACAACACAGGCCTATAACATGCTCACCCTGAACACGCTTGACCTTAAAGCTAAATGATTAGATTCCATCATTTTAAATGTTTTAATTAAAATTTTGGATTTGTCTGATTATTTATGTTTGATTGTGTCATTGTGTCTTCAATTTTGATTATATTTTTTTTAATTCCCTTTTCTGTTCTAAATGTTAGCTCTTTGTATACAGTTTATTAATTGTAATTTTTTTTTAAAGAAATTAAAGCAACTCTTCAAAAAAATAGTGTATCTACTATTTTCGAGTACTACTATTTATTCCTAACAAACCATACATCAATGGAAAGCTTATTTATTCAGCTTTCAGATGATGTATAAACCTCAATTTCGAAAAATTGACACTTAAAGGGATAGTTCACCCAAAAATGAAAATGTGATGTTTATCTGCTTACCCCCAGGGCATCCAAGATGTAGGTGACTTTGTTTCTTCAGTAGAACACAAACAGAGATGTTTAACTCCAGCCGTTGCAGTCTGTCAGTCGTATAATGCATGGCAATGGTAACAAAAATGAAGCGCGCTCACACTGAGAGCCTGTCAAAAAGCGCCTGATTATTGGACTCAGTTGTCTTTCGCGTCTAATACTGTCAAAACACACAAGGTTTACATATAAACACAGTTGGTTATGTCTAAAATGAAAGTAAAAAGTTGGGAGAGAAACGCGTGCAGCTCTTAAAGGGACAGTAGATACTAAACATGCTGCCGACTGTCATTAAAGGGACAGTTCACCCCCCAAAAAATTAAATTTCTGTCATTATTTACAAACTCACATTTTGTCTTAAACCTGTATTAATTTCTTTCTTGTGCTGAACACAAAAGAAGATATTTTGAAGAATGTGAGTAACCAAACAGTAGCTGGTCCACACTGACTTTTACAGTAGGAAAAAAATACCAGCAACTGCTTGGTTACCCACCTGTGGTCCAGGGTCACATATATCAGGGCTGTACAGTGCGACATATATGTTAAATAGTGTGCTTAATAGTGTGAAGTGATTTATTGTGCTTGTTTGTGTGTGTGAGATTGATTATACTTGGTAGTTAGGGGTGTGCAATATGACGATTTTTGATCGTGGACGATTAAAATGTCTCCACGATCTGCTTTTGAAGAAATATCGTTGTATCGTGCTACAGCGCACATTCTATCAGCTGCAGACAGTTCTGGCGCCTCCCTCCGTCTCAATATAATGTACAACGCCACATGCATTCACATCAGTGTTAGCTCAGCGGTAGAGTTACTCTCACGGGACACAGCACTTATGCGCAATCACATGTTTTATTGTAATATGTGTTCATTCAATTTCTTGAATGTTACTGCTAAATACTGTACCTGAAAAATGAAGCACTGTTTGTTTTATTTGTATATTATGTGTATTTGTAATGTATATCTTTGTTCTTATTTTCTAATAACAAAGATAAAATGATGACAAAAGATTTTTATCTTTGCTCACGTTGGCTTAAATGTCTGCCATTCTTTTTTATTTTATATTTTGTTAAGGTGTAAGAGGTGTTATGTTTCTGCACTCTTCCATTTTTAGCAAATTAAGACAACTTTGTCTAAAAACAATTTTTGTGATGGTTTGTATTTTTTTGTGCTCTGATGGAACATCAGTGCCTGTTTAAGTGATGAACTCCATTACTTGTGTTTGTTTCAGACATGATAACAGACGTTTTATACTTGTGCTACAACTTTTCGGCCTGTGCTACAAAACTTTCAACCTCTGTAGCACCAGTGCTATGTGAAAAAAAAGTTAACATACAGCCCTGCTTTGTATTTTTTTGTGCTCTGCATGGAACATCAGTGCCTGTTTAAGTGATGAACTCCATTACTTGTGTTTGTTTTCAGACATGATAACAGACGTTTAATACTTGTGCTACAACTTTTTGGCCTGTGCTACAAAACTTACAACCTCTGTAGCACCAGTGCTATGTGAAAAAAAAGTTAATGTACAGCCCTGTATATAGAGAATGTGTGTGTGTGTGCGCGCGTGTGTGATAAAGTGTTGGGCTTTGTTATTTTGGCCGCCTAATGGGACAGCCATCCAGCCACAGGTGTGGAAATCCCAATTATCATCTGCTTTTAATCTGTTTCTAGTCATTTTGAGTTTCTCTCCCCCAAATTAATCTCTTAACCTTGCTAGTGTGCAGAGGCACTGCTTTACTGTAGTGAGACATGACAATTTAAAGTGTGTTCAGCTTCAAATGTGCAGTGATGTGAAAAGGCTGCTGATATTGAGGATGTGTAACGTTGTCTGCTCACTGGAACTAACTTACCTCTCCGCCACTGCTTTGAGAGGTCTGTAATGTGATCAACGTTACACACAAGTTCAGGAAATAGTTAGAAATTAGACACATTTACAGCACCGTTAACAAGTGACCCTAGTGATAAAGGCGGCAATAAAGAGTGTAGCTTTATTCCAAATAGTTTAAGAGTCCATGGCTCAAAAGAGAGAAATGTATATGTGAAATACACACCCTGACAAAAGCAGCCACTAATATAAAATGAATACTTACTGAAAGAGAGAGAGAGAACACACTTATTTGGGATTCAGTATATATTTAGAATAACCTCAACACCAGACAGAAACTGAATGCACGTCGCACCTCTATTGCATTTTATCACGTTCTAGCTGGGGTCTCAGAGACCCCGAACAGCTCACCCAAAATATTTTGCTACTACTCACGTCGATTATTAATTATAATCACATACTTGTGCATTTTATATTATTGATCAATATGTGAATCCACTGACCGGACTACGCACGACACAGATTAAAAACTTTTTCAACCCATCCTCTGCTCCGCGATGTTTCGTTAGTTCGGCTGGAGATTCTGAGTCTGACCAGCAGATGTCGCTAATGCGCGCTGTGTTAAAAAGCTTCGAGTAATGAACCGTTTTTCGGCACAATTTAATGAAAGCCTCAAACGGTTCAGAAAGCCTCGGTTTCCCATCACTAAAACTAGGCTTTAATGAGCAAATTAACACAATCAATCATATAAATGCTTACTGTAACTACTCCGGGGGGAAAAAAACAAAGTTAAACGCAGAATTTACAAATACAATATTTAGACAATTTGGGTTAGAGTAAGTTTCGTAGTTATATTTTGAGCGGAAACTCTTTGTGACACGATGGGTGGCTCTTAAAAGAGCCTTTGTGTGTCGGAGAGTCGGAGCGGAGCTCTACTTGGAGCTGGTGTACTTGGTGACGGCCTTGGTGCCTCAGACACGGCGTGTTTGGCCAGCTCTCCGGGCAGCAGCAGACGCACGGCGGTCTGGATCTCTCTCGAGCTGATGGTGGCCGTCACCAAGTACACCAGCTCCAAGTAGAGCTCCGCTCCGACTCTCCGACACACAAAGGCTCTTTTAAGAGCCACCCATCTTATCGCCTAAAGAGCTTTTGTAACTTTCAACCGTTGTAATTGCTGTGTGATTTTATGCAATACTGGTTTTAAAATTATTTGCAATTCACTTTTTTTAAATTTTATTATTGTGGTAGTGTTGGCGTTTGCTCTCAAGTTCATTCATGTTTGTTTTCTAATAGTTGAGGTAAGTTACAGTCTGATAACCGTGAATTAAATCAGTCTGCAAAACTTTAAAGGGGTCATATGATGCGATTTCAAATTTTCCTTTCTCTTCGGAGTGTTACAAGCTGATTGTGCATAGATAAGATCCCTGAAGTTGCAAAGACTAAAGTCTCAAAACCAAAGAGATATTCTTTAT